AAAGATGGGGTAAGACGCTTTAAATGCTGTTAAGATCCTAAATGTGTTCTTACAGCTTAATAAAAATGAACACATAAAAATGTTTCTCACCCAACATTTACTCTTATAAATTATGCAGATTTGGACGGCTGTGTGAAACCTGCCACACATTTGGTCACGGTGCGAGTCAGATTAGCCTCAGATATGTTGCAGCTGATCTGATACCATTCAAATTGCTCTCCGTTCTGCATGCATTTACATGAGTCGATGCAAAAGCAAAGATAAGTGCAGTGCGTCACGCGGGTCTTTGTGGTCATTGATCAGCTGTGGGCCGGGGAGCTGAGACAGCCATCGCATGTTCGTCTGTTTATCAGAACTGAAGCCATCCCTCACCTCGTTCCCTCTGGCATGCAGATGAGGCCCACACCATCCATTAATCTCTTTGTGCACGTCTGTTTCTACAGGATATCTCACTTTGCCTGCATTTTTCCCCACCGTTCCCTTAACTCTCCTTTTCCCTCTACCTTTAAGAGCCTCTCTTCCTTCTGTTCCTCTTTTCCTCCACTTTGTCTTCTTGTTTTATTTTTTTCCCTCCGTGTGTTTGAAGTCCTCCCAGACCCCACAGCAACATATGGAGAGAGAGAGAGCAAGCGAGTCACTGAGACAGGGAAACAGAGAGGGAACACATTGCACGATCAGTCAGGAGTTGTGAGGGGTTGAGTGCTGCAGGGTGGCTGGTGGCAAGGATTGAGAAATCGGACAGATTTTCCTGTAAACTACCCGACGTGGGAGACTGAAACGTGCTGCCTCTCACTGTCTGATGCCGACAAACGTATTAGTCCCAACTTTTTTTTTCCCACCATACATGTATTCACACATACGCTATAGGTTCTGCCTCACTCCACCCCCCACTTTCACTCTTTTTTTTTTTTTTTCACTCGACACACAGGCCTTCAGGAAAAAAAACTTTTCAAAGTCACACTTCTCAAGCACCTACTCTTGGGGAATGTGTGTGGATGAAAAAAAAAAACATCCGGCTTTCCACTCTGTGTGAAAGCCTGACAGATGTCCGTGTGTGTGTGTGTGTTTGTGTGTGTGTGTGTGTGTGTGTGTTTGTGTGTGTGCGCGCGCGTGTGTGTATGTGGCCATCAGGCAAAAGAGAAAGCAAATCCGTTTAGAAAGGGGAACAATACAGGAAGGAGTGGTGCCAGTGTGTTGAGGTGCAGAGACTTCATAACACGTCAAACTAGAGATTTTTGCGTTTTCTGCAAAACTGCAGCATGAATGCTTAGATTTTTTTGCAAAACAAATGTACCAAAATGTTGTAATTTGTTGTAAAAGAGCCAAAAATAGATGAAATTAGCAGAAAGTAGCTGGAAAAACCTGAATCTTGTTTTAAGTTTATTC